CCCCTCCCTTCAGGCAGTTGTAAAGAGCTATCAGGTCTCCTCGGAGCCTCCTCTTCTCCAGGCTGAACCCCCCCAGCTCCCTCAGCCGCTCCTCACAGGACTTGTGCTCCAGACCCTTCCCCAGCTCCGTTCCCTTCTCGGGACATGCTCCAGCCCCTCAGTGTCTGTCTTGTAGTGAGGGGCCCAAAACTGAAGCCAGAATTTGAGGTGCAGCCTCACCAGTACAGGAGGACAGTGCTGTCCTATTGCTAACACTGACTTTTGTTTTTTATCCTCAGGAAAAGCTCTGCAAACTGTGACTCAAAACCTCCAAAGGCTCCAAGCCCCGGGGCAGGGCGAGCAGAGCTGGCTAGAGCCATAACAGAGCAGGAGGGTGAGTGGGAATGTGGCATTGAGGGGGATGTCATTCCTGCAGCAAGTAACAGCCGTCTGCTGCTCGTGCCCAGTGCTCGCTCACAGCCTGCACGCTGAGGCTCAGACTAGTCCTTATGTGCCCTCTGCTTGGTTTTCCCTTTGGAAAATCCTTAGTCCCTCTGCCCCACTGAGAGCGTGACTGTCCTCTTTCTCCCGGTGGCTGCAGGAAAACCGACGTCGGGTGACTGTTCCACCCGGAAGCTGAGTGTGCCTGCGAGAATGAGCGCGAGGACCGTGCTGGCAGCGCCGCGGCTCGGCTGAGCGTGCCACAGCAGCTGGCGGGTGCGTGGAAGAAGGTCTCGGCCGTTGGAGAACGTGCCTGGGAGAGCGAGGGACAGCAGAAGGCAGCAACCCAGCAGCTCTTTGAGCCTGACAGTTGTCTGGGTTCTCGGGATCGCTGTTGTTCATACCACAAGTTCAGGTTAAGAGGAGAAGGATCGAGCCCAGAAGCTTTATCTGCCTTAAGCTTCCTGCAGCCCTTCTCATTCAGGGCTGTGCGGTGTTAGAAAGTTGACAGCTACCCACAGCAATCAATGAATTATCCTTTTGTGCATCCCATCCTCCCCAAGGCCTCTGACACTTGCTCTGGCCCCTTGTATGCCATGTGAATTGGTATTTGCTCAGGAGTTGCCCCAGAAGATGGACTGGAGGCAATAAGAGAGGAAGGCTTGTTGGGTAAGGTGAGTAGAGTTTGTAATGTTTGGCTCGTTGAGCTGCAGCAAAGCTCATGCAGCCCTAATCTCTGTCTGGAATGTGTGACTGCTATCCCAGATCTGTGCTTCGAAACCTCCCTCCAACCAGCCCGTCCTGGTTTGGTTCAGATTCTTGCCCCCCTCAGGGGTTGGGATCATGTTACTGAGTCCCGAAGAATTCGTTTTTGTGGTAAATGCTTTATGGCAGAGACAGGCTGGTCTGCCAGTGCCAAGATCCCAACACTGACAGTGGTTGCAAGACAGATGTTCCCCTGGAAGGACATGAGAGAGCAGGAAAAGCTCAAGACTGTTCTGTCTCCCGTGCCTCTGGCAAGCAGAACAAGAGGGAGAGAGCTGTCCCCCATGGGAGATGGGTAAAATAAATCACATCCCAAGCACTGGTCCTCAAAGCCTTTGGCTTCCTGGTGTTTGGAAATAGTCCTGCCAAGGCATTCTTGTGTCAGCAGTGTGGCTGTTCTCCAGGGGCAGCCAAATGGTGCAGGAAGAGTTTGCCTCCCCAGAGAGCCTGCTTCCTCTCCTGGAGCTGAGCAGGCAGCCTCGAGGGCTCTGGTGACAGCTCTGCTGGTGTCAGAGGGTTTCCCGTGACTCTGTTCCTGTGTACTGCTGAGCCCTGAGGGGAGAAACCAAACCAACACACCCCGAAGTCTGTGAGCGACAGCTTTGAGTCTGCAAAGCCTCCTTGGGAAGCGGAAGAAATGCCTTCTGATTTTTGGACTTAGACCACAGATGCAAAAACACAAAATCCCGTTCCGGCCCCATCCGTTGTACCAGTCTCCCCCTCTGATCAGCTGCCTGGGGCCGGTGAGGCGGGCGAGAGAGCGGGCCTGCCTTCGCTGCGGGTGGTGTCTCATGGGAGCGTCCCCCCCCACGGGGCGTCTGTGCTTCCCGGGGGGAGGCTGGGGGCCGCGAGGCAGCCG